TGTTTTTGATGTGCAACTCGGCTAAATACCATATTGGTATTTTTTATTGACCATTTTTGACATTTTGGTATTGTTTTATTACTCCAGCGACAGTTTGTTATTTTAGTTGACCTAGATGATCAAATAGGCCCAAAATTTAGTTGCGGTGAGAAATTTTTGAAATTAATCCCTCAAATCATCACTATATTGATATCAACCCCCTTACTTATTTAGCTCAATTAAAAGTCCAAATCCATTTCAAACTCTTATATTCTCCATTTCATCCTCTTACAAACCCAAAACCCATTGAATTCAATTATAGATCCATACTTGTTTCGAATTCTCATCTTCTCCGTTCCATCCCCTTACAAATGAGTTCAGGTTTCTAGTTAAATTAAATGGATAAGGTTTTTGTAAGGGGATGGAATGGAGAAGATGAGAGTTTGAAATGTGTTTAGGTTTGTAATTGAGTTAAATAGCAAAGGGGTTTGTAAAGGGATGAAATGGAGAAGTGAGGGTTTGAAATGGATTCAGGTTTGCAATTATGTTAATAGGTAAACTACTTTCAAATTTTAATAATTTGGAGACTAATATCAAAATAGTAAGATTTGAGAGACTAATTTCAAAATTTTCTTGCAAGCAACCAAGTTTTTGGCCTATTTGCCCAATGGGGTAAACAAAAAAAAACACAAATTGTAGTTGGAGTAATAAAAGATACCTAAGTGTCAAAAATGCTCAACAAAAAAAAAATACTAAGGTGCATGGAAATGTGAGTCCCACCTTGGGCCAGTCTTTTAGATGAATGGCTATACGAGGAGGTTAAGCGCCACTTGAGGATTATGACTAATAGCTACATGTGCTTCATCTGTTGTTGATATTATCACTCTCACTGATGATTCATCTTCAGTAACAGACTTAAGTACTTAACTCAAATAGCAGGTCCAGAGCAAGTTTTGGTCTGAGAGTGACTTTGAACATAGAAAACCCTTTTCAAAAGGGCGGGTTAAAAATATAAGGTTGTGTAAGGCTTTGGCTAATAAAATAAAATAAAATGAAAAACTAATATGCAGTTTGTGATGAGCAATATTAGGGTCAGAAAACCCCAAGAAACAACATTTTGGTTGGCGAAGAACTTTTGGGGGACGTCATGGGGGGAAAGAGCGAGTATATTAGGATGGAAGGGTGGAGACCTCAACATTCTTAGTAGTAGAGAATCTCTACAATTCACCAGTCAAATTTCTTCATTCAGTGGACCCGTGCATGATACTATTTATCTAATCTGTATAAATATACTATTAATTGTATGATCCATTGACACATGTCCTCTATTTGGTTATGTGGAGTTCGGTTTCAAAAAGGTCATGGTGTGAGATTAAGTCCCACATAAGATAAGAGGGTAAAAGATGGAAATATCGTTAAATATGCTTAGACTCATGATCCAGACAGGTAATCCTTTTGGGTCAATTGGGTACAAATATATTAGTCTAATCCATATCCTTTACGGTCTTCTAGACCCTAACAAATTGGTATAAGAGCCCCAAGGTTTGATGGTCCTTTGATGGATGCTCTATTTGCTTCGAGATTCTATTACATGACTTCAAGGTGGAGTTACATCATAATTGTCTCTGGTGTAACTTGGTCCGACATAGTTAGAACTCCCTTAAGTGCACATGTCTTCACTCTTTGGTGCGACTCTGTTTATCTGCGAAGCGGTTGAAATTATCATATTCATTAGCTAATCTTGTGTTCTGGGCTCTAGTTATAGTCAACTGGATTTGAGCCAATGTGGAGAATTTTAAGGAAGTTGTCTTGCATCCATTTGGTTGTGTGGTATTCGGTTTGGGAAAAGGCATGCGGTGGGATGTAGTCCCACATCGGATAAAGACGAAGATTGACCCAAATATGATTAATACTTTTGAGTCAACTGAGCTCAAGTATATTAGCATAGTCCATCTCCTTAACGAACCTTTCCAAACATAACAAGATTAACCAACAATATTAGTACATATAAACAATTGCGAGCATTTTCTACAATCAGATTGCAAGATTGTAGAGAATCTGGACTCTATCCAAAATCACTCTAACCCGATTCAAATTATTTTTAATTAATTAATTGAGTTTACTTGCTTCCTAGAAGAACAGTTCAATAAATTGATAAGATTTATTGTAATTTTATCTGGGGCCCCAGAGAGGGGACTCCTAGGATGCATTTAGTCTCTTGGAATCATGTTTGTATGCCTCAGGAGGTTGGTGGTCTTGGGTTAATCCAAGTAGAATATTAGAATAAAATTGTTATGGTAAAGCTCCTGTGGTCAATTCATATGAAGCAAGATGTACAGTGGATAAAATGGTTGCATGAATCCTATTTGAAGAATCTTTCGGTATGGGAGGTTCAAGTAAGAGTTGCGGATTCATGATTTTGGAGAAAGATCCTGAGCATATTAGAGATTGGTTGATAGTGAGTGTGGATCCATTGAGGCTGTTATTGTTAAATTTGGTGAATTGGAGATTGCAGGTAAGTTCTCTACGGCTAAGGGTCTCCAGACTCTCTGTGAAGTATGTGACGTGGTGGGGGCTAACGAACACGTGAATGAGTGGATGGTTTTTTTTTTTCGCGTGAGATTTGAGAGCAGGCCCACCCGATGCCAATTTCCCAACTATATATATAACAAATTTCTCCTAGGTTTTTTGGTAGCAATGAGGCTTTGGCTGTGAATTTCTTTTTGCGGCTACGGGAAAACGAGTTTTGACGGCTGGCGCAGGTGCGAAGGAGGCTGGCTTGTTTTGTTGGCTGCGGCTTGGTGCAAAGAAAAGCAGCGCAAGACAAAGGAAAAAGTACAGCGCGAAGGAGGGTGTTTTGTGCAGAAGTTCTGTGCAGAGGCAGAGGCTTGGACGACGTGCAAAAGAAGAGAAAAATTACAGAAAGTACAAGGCTTCGTGCAGAAGAAAAAAATCCTATTTGGCGGCTGTGCTTTTGAGAGAGATATTTGTTTAAGGGATCTGAGAGTTTGTTTGAGGGTTTAGATTGAGTGATTGTAAACCCTAGTTGTATTCTCTCCCTCTAATAGTAGATCTCCCCTCTCCTTGCCCCGTGGACATAGGCAATTTGCCGAACCACGTAAAAGTTGTGTTCTTGGCGTGATTTGTAATAGCTTGTAGGATCCCTCGACAGGTCAGTCCTAGAACTGATGAGAGGAAGAGCCGATATCTCACTTTATTGAGATATCCGCTTCAGATTCTTGTTTCCTTGGTGAGACAGGAATTTTTACGATCTAATCTCTTGTTGTGCACCTTACGCACCGGAGGTGCTGCCGAAATTTTCGCTGCGCACAACAAGTGGTATCAGAGCTCCGGGTTAGACTTAGGAGCTTGTTTGAAGGATTCGCTAAAGGATTCCTATTTGAAGATTAGATCGACAACATGGGTGAAACAAGCACATCGGGATCGTCTCTTACGAAGACGATACATAGTTTGAGCATCAATAACATGAAGACTGATGTTCCGAAGTTCGACGGTAAGATTAATTTTGGATTGTGGAGGTGTCAGGTGATGGACGCCTTGGACGCTCAGAATTTGGAGGAGACTCTTAAGTTACAAGAGAAACCTGCCGATATGGAAGGTAAGATTTGGAAGAAGATGAATAGTAGGGCGTGTGGAGTTATTCGGTCATGCTTGACGCTGGATCTTATTTATGACGTGATGAATGAGACGTCGGCGAAGAAGATGTGGGAAACACTCAATAAAAAGTATCTTACTAAGAGCATTGAGAATCGGCTTTACTTGAAGAAGAGGTTTTACTAGTTCAAGATGAAGAGGGGAGTTTCTATTAGGGAGCATGTTAACAACTTCACAAAGCTATTTTCAGACATGGCCAATGTAGATATCATGGTTGAGGATGAAGACAAGGCGATGCTATTTTTGTGTTCGTTGCCCGATGATGATTATGATACTTTTGTCCTAACTATGATTAATATAAGAACTATTGTTAGTTACAAGGAGGTGACCTCAGCGTTGGTGAATTATGAGTTGAGGAAGAGTGTTGATGAGTCCTCCGAGAAGGCATCGGGAGATGCATTAGTAGTTCAAGGCTGTGGTTCAAACCGAAGCAGAAGGTCGCGGTCTAGATGTGCACATCGTGGGATTCGTAGGAATCAGTGTGTCTTTTGTAAAGAGGATGGACATTGGAAAGCCGAATGCCCAAAGTTAGATCGAGCCGAGAAGAATAAGGGGAAAGCTGTACAAGATTTAGAGGTGAATGTTGTTAAGACTAGTGGCGACAATTCAGATTCGGATTCTTCGGGCTATTCGTTGTCTGCACTACCGTCAGTTTGTGTTGTCAACTCTACAGAGTAGATGTTGGATTCGGGTGCTTCATACCACGTTTGTCCTAGGAGGGATTGGTTCTCCAGCTTTCAGAAGTTAGAAAGAGAAGATGTTGTGCTCATGGATAATGGACATGCATGCTCTATTGGTGGTATTGGTATCGTTCGTATTCGGATGTATGACAGAATGATTCAGGAGTTGGAAGAAGTGAGGTTCGTTCTGTAGTTGTCGAAGAACATCATTTTACTAGGAGCTTTGGTGGCATTTGGCTATAAAGTGACCTTGGTGGATGCACGTTTGAAGGTCACATTGGGGTCCATGATTGTGATGAAGGGCGTCAGAAGGAGCAATTTGTATTATTTACTCGGAAGCACGGCAATTGATAGGGAGATGACGACTTCATCAGATTCGGCTAGACTGTGGCGTTGTTTGATGCTGGGTTATTTGATTGGTAATACCGTGCATAGGTTATTGAGGAGTGCTTTGACCTGCAGTTTGAAGTCTTGTGAACCCATTGGTATGAGCAAGAAGACCGAGGTGGAGTTTTGCACTTTTATCCATCATTCGAGGGGTCTTCTGAGGGGTGTTCATTCAGGCATTCGGGGGCCTTCCAAGGGACCATTATTGGGAGGTAATAGGTATGTGGTTTTCGTAGTTGGGGATTGCTCTAGGCATTGGTGGGTTACAACCAAGCCCCGTTTGTGTGAAGTCCTAGAAGCCCGCAACAGATAGAGGAAGTGTGTTGGTAGAAAGGTAACCCGACGTTCTGATTATGGTAGGGGTTCTTTCTTGCGTTTGTGCCAAGCTCACGACAATTGGAGACACTTCATTGGTGTGGAAACTTTTAGGCGACGTGATGAGATGGCAGATTTGGGGAGCTGTTCCTTTCTGAAGGAGGATCGGCGTTTGATGTCGAGCATTAGCATTTGTGTGCGGGCTACGACATGTTTGGGCCATCTTATGTATAGGTTGCTGACTGCTGTATGTAGAGATTTTGGATCTAGTGGAGCTGCTTCAGATTTTGGGTTGCGTCGGATGTTTAGCTACCCAGCACTTGGTCACATCGTGGATGTGAGATTTGATCCGATAGCACATTTGGGATTCAAAGGCATGTTTGATTATCAGGTATTAGCTTCTGATTTTGTTCTGAGCAGATATGTCACGTTTGACTCTCGGCAGGTAGAGAGTGATGCTACTCCACGTTGGGTGGAGACTCTAGATCATACTGTATTATTTGGGATTCCAGCTGATGTGATACAGATTGGGAATCATGTTGTTTTGGACGCAGATGATAGGTTGATTGATTCGAGTGCAGCTGATAGATGTAGTCTAGACATGGCCGTTGGTTCATCTCAGGTGGAGGTGTTTGGATTGTTTCAGTTTAGGGCCATTGGAGGTGCTATCAGTCGCAGACTTGATCATGATGTTGGAGAATGGTTGCAAACTCTTCTATTGGATTAAGGTCGTTAGAGGTCATTTGGGTGAACTACGTTCGGTTTGATTCCTTAGGCAAGAGGATACGTAGGCAGTCTTTATGATGCAGCCGGGTTGGATTTTGACGGGCTGAGATTGATTTTGTGAGTAGATACCGATGTTTTGGAAGAGTGTTCGCACTCTCATTTGGGTTCTCGACTTGTTATGGATTGAGTCCGTTGTCGTGAATCGTTTCACTTTGTACTGGACGCAACAAGTGGGATATTTGTTTTGGTTGGTGTCGGCTCAGTTTTGGGAAAACTTCGCCGAGGTGGAGAATTGTGAAGCATGTGACGTGGTGGGGGCCAACGAACACGTGAATGAGTGGAGGTTTTTTTTTTTGCGTGAGATTTGAGAGCAGGCCCACCCGATGCCAATTTCCCAACTATATATATAACAAATTTCTCCTAGGTTTTTTAGTAGCAAGGAGGCTTTGGCTGTGAATTTCTTTTTGCGGCTACGGGAAGAGGAGTTTTGACGGCTGGCGCAG